TCAATTTGTTTAGTAGCAATTGCTATTTGCCTTTCTGAATGAAAATTTTCCTGTAGTTGCTCATCTTGTCTCCTTCCCACTTTCACTGCTTTTCCAAAACTTAGCTTGATACGTTTGTGATCACTACCCAGACTTCTGGAGCCACCTTCATCTATGTGCATTCCCCTGAGCTTATCATACATCCCATGTGACATCAGTGCGTAATCTATCGTCGACTGCAGCCTTCCTACCTCCCATGTTGTTTGCCCTTCACACTTCTCGGTACTGTTGCAAATGATAAAATCAAGCCTTTCAACATATCCATGATCATTTTGCCTGTCTGGTCGGTATACCCATCTATATCTTCTATGTGCGCATTCATATCTCCTAGTATAATTATCTCGCACTCTCCTCCTAACTCCTCAATGTCATTTGATATACACTCTACCATTGCCTGGTTTTCCTCTCTGGCCTTTGCTTGCGTCCACAAGTACACGAAACCAAGGAGTGTCATTTGCCCTGCCACTTTCCCTTTTAGCCATAAATGTTCCTTGCCCTCCTGCTTGACTCTTTGCCAGTCTGTACTTTTATGAATGAATGCTCCAATACCACCCCCTTTCTGCTGCCTTCTGTTCTATTACAATATTCCCACGCGTAGTCCGGATTGTTAGGAGGTTGTTCCATGTCCCTAAGATGTGTTTCTACAAAACCCTATACCATCTGCCTCTCCTCTCTTAGCTGTTCTTCTATCTCTTCCCACTTCAGCCTGAGGTAGTGTCTTCCCACTTCAGCCTAAGGTAGCGCCTGAGGTAGTGTAGTGGCCTCTGGTGGGCAGAATGAGAGTTTTTGGCATTTTAGCACCAAGTGCTCAACTGTCTCCTGTTTCGCTCCGCACACTCTGCATAGGGTCGAGTGGATGTTTGGGTCGAAGTGGCTACGGTATGTGAGCGTGTGAAGCGCTCCCGCACGCACGCACTTCGAACAGAAGCCCACTTACACCACTGTTGTCATAGACAGATATCGGGGCAATGGCCTCTTTGTATGTACGATACAGCTGAAGTGTACTCTTCTGCTGCATCGAGATTTCCCATTGCGCATTCTCCACTACGCGTATCCGTTTCCGGACTGCTGCAGAAAACTTGTGCTCCGGGGTCTCGATTGTTGAGAGGTCCAAGATGTTTTACTTGCGTCGCAGAGAGTAGACTCTGTTCGATCACTGTCCTGAGTCTCTCAAAGTGCAGGTAGCGGAACATGCGACGGGCCCACTGCTGATCATTCATGAAGCATAGGCGCCCTTGATAATTGATCTTGCTCGTGGCTTCCCGCGCCTCGTACGTAGACCAACCCATGTCCCCCTGGTTTGCTGTGTGCTGGTCATGCCATCTGTCGTCTAACAGCGACAACTACGCAGGATTTTCAAAGGCTCCGAGATTGGCGCTTATTCATAGGCTTGTATGGAGCTTGGCCGGACCACAACTTACAGTTCGAATTATCCATAAATTCGAATTATTGAAGTTAGAATTAACAAGCTTTCACTGTATTCAATCTCTCTTTCTATATAAGAGGACAATAACATTGACCAAGGCTTGCAGGCAAGTTCCATTGCTCAGCGGCATACAGCTTCACAATATCTGTTTTTAACACAATATAAATGTTTATAAAAGAGCATCCATTCTAGTAAACAAACACATGGCATGCATACTAAAAGACACAAGTGACCTAAGACTTGAAAACAACATGCTCACCAGCATGCCCATTAAAAGTTTGATGTGAGCTCAAAAAATGTAAGACTACAGGTTTTTCCTCTCACTTTAATCCAAGAGCTATTCTAAATAATCTGCATGTCATTCAAATAATCTGAGCACAGGGCTATTTAATCCATGTGCCAAACATTTAATCCAAGTGCCAACATATTTAATCCAAGCGCCAACTCACTCAGGCCGCGTGCCATTGAGTTTAATCCAAGTGCCACCGTATTTAATCCAATTGCCAATGACTTTAATTCAGGTGCCAGTCAGTTTAATCCATGCGCTAGAAACACACAGTTAGCCACTATATATAGTATAAATGTCAGAATAACGTAAACATGGTGTCAAAGCAAGAACTTTTCCTTCGGCTATACATGGTAGCGCTTATGAAATGAAGTGCGCAGTGCGACTTTCCCTTAACCATTTGGTGTCATAGCTTCAAAATAAAAAAAAAAACAGTCAGTAGTAATTGCATTTATGGGTACTTAAATGTATTTGCTCATAGAGTCCATGCTAGTCTTTATTGCATTGCTACTGCTTCATTCCGGTTAACCATCTACACCATCGCATATGCATTCGTGCCGTCTGCTGAGCAGACTGCATTTGGCTACTTATGCGCTGAGGCTACCGCAGTCGTCTGCTCACCCCAGGGAGAACAGTGACCGACAGATGATATTCATTCGTTCTTGAAATCAGAAATAACCACTTAAAAATACCAAACTTGCATTTAATTGGGTTCATGTGGAAATAAGTTGTTATAAAAGCATCAAAGTAGATACTCCGGTTTTCATGTAACAGACGACGCTTAGTGTAGCTGAAGCGTGTTTACATGAAACGTGTGTTTTCATACGGGAAAATTTGCAGACGAAGAGAGAGCTTTGCTTTAAGTCATGGCTGGACGCGAACGAGGACCACACTTCAAGAACCCTGACGAACCTCGTCAAAAAAACAGCAGAGTATTGGTGGTCGACAGGGCTAGGATTGTGGACGTTTACAGGCGTGGCGGTGACTTGAAGCAACTGGCCGACCCTCTAGGCATCAACATTAAAATAGCAAGATCGATTGCCGCTACCGACAGAGAAACATCAAAGCATGATGGGGGTTCAAAAAGGAAGTTTGGAGATGACGTCGTGAGTACTTTGAGACAAATTGTCGACGAAAACTGGACATTTACATTGAAGCAAATAAAGGAGGCCCTGGAGAAAGAAATGCCAGGAGTAACAATAATCAGTGCAAGCACAGTCGACCGCTTGCTGGATGCCCACTGCTACTCGATGAAGCTAGTGACGCAGAGGCCACAGATCGCAACCGTGACGATATCAAGCACAGCCGCATGCTGTACGCCCAATGGCTGCGGTCTGATGGACCGCGTGTGTGCCGCTTCTATTTAGATGAGACTAACTTCAATATCTGGTGTTCCAGGAACTTCGGCAGGGCAGCTAAAGGACAACTAGCTGTGCACATGACCACAACGACAAAGGGAGTGAACTTGAACATTATAGCATGCATGTCCGCAAATGGAGTTATTCACTGGACTGTGGTGGACAAAGTTCATTGGGTTGTTTTTAATGACTTCCTCAGTGATGTTTCGGCCCGCGTAGAACGTGATGAGCGAAATACTGAAGCTGTATTCCTTTTTGATAATGTACCTGCTCACGTTCGAGCAGAACAGGCAGCTTTGGCTAACTCCATGCACTCTATTAAGCGCCTGCCAGGGCACAGTCCCTTCTTTAACCCTATAGAAGAAGCCTTCTCGAAATTCAAGTCACACGTAAAGGCCTACCTGAGAGAACGTCGTAATTTAGCTTTAGTGACACCGCAAGGCATGACGAAAAAGGAGCACAGACGTTCTTTGCTGCTGGATGCGGCTCGCCACTTCATGCAACAAATACAGCGCGTGGACTGCGCGGCCTTTGATCGGCACAATTTCTCTTTCGTACCTGCTGCTTTGCGTGAAGATGACTTGTGAACATCCGTCTCCGAGCCGTATGAGACAGTTCTGTTTTAATAAATACACTAACCTGTGCCTATGTTGCATTTCTTGAATAATCAGTAGTAATCACTCTTGTTTTCCTGTATATGTATATGTATGTATGTGTACACACACACACACACACACACACACACACACACACACACACGTGTGTGTGTGTGTGTGTAGAGATAGAGGGGGGGGACAGAACAAATAATTTAGTGATTGCACTGAATCCGCAAGCTTCCAACGTGTGATGAGAACCATAATGCCGTGCAAAAAAAACACGTACACAAAAAAAAGAAAGCTAGGCCCAAGGTCAGTTGCGTGTTATTATCATTTTGGTTCTTCTGTGTTCGTTTCATCGCATTCGTCAAGTACGTCACAAAACTAACAAGCTAAACGAACAATCAGTACTGTTCGTATCATTGGAGACATTTAACTTTGTTTGCATAAAAAAATAAGAGCATACAATAATGTAAAATAAAACTTCTATTGCCACATCAGGATGATCAGTTTACGTTTTATGTTCACTACAGGAAAAAACATATTGGAATTATCTCTAATTCACAGTGCGTGCCGCGCAACAGCTTCCTAATTTCTTGATTATGTAGCTGTCTTTGACCCATCACTGCCCGCGACCATGCTTTTAATCTCTTAGTATGCGCTCCGGCACTCCAATAAACAAAGTGTGTCATTCGCATTGCATGACCTGTCCTGGTCATGTAATGTTGTAGTGTGTACCAAAGCCAATTATGAGCTTCAGTAACGGATACTGAATTTCATTGCACTGCAAAATATTCAGTTATATGTTCCTGCGTTTTTTCGTTTTGATTAAAGTTATTTCACCTGGGCCAAGCACTCATTATACAAACTTGCGCATAGCAAAGTATAAGCACTCCAAACATGGCTTTAGCGAACCACGGCAGTAATTTTTTTCAAGAATACCATCAGCGATTACAATTAATAATGATTGATTCTACCTTCCGACTATTGTCTTTTATACCGTAGGAACTGCATTTCAATTGCACTGCCGTTTTTACGCCCCGTATTCTGGTTTTTGTGCGTGGATTAAACTGACTGGCACCTGAATTAAAGTCATTGGCAATTGGATTAAACACGGTGGCACTTGGATTAAACTCAATGGCACGCGGCCTGAGTGAGTTGGCGCTTGATTTAAATATGTTGGTGCTAGGATTAAATGTTTGGCACAAGGATTAAATAGCTCGGCACTCAGATTATTTCAATGGCATGCAGATTATTTAAGCTGGCACTTGGATTAAAGTGAGAGGGAAAACCTGTAGATTGCAAATATAATTTAATAATATAGAAGAATGGCGAAGGCATCTTGAGAGGCTTACACAGGTTAAACAAATAAACTACCAGAAAAAAATAACAAAACTAAATTAAATGCGACATTGACTGAGCAAGCACAGAATTTCTTGTCATTTCAATTCGCAAGTGTAGCTTGCAACTCTGATGATAAAATCAAGTTATGAACCTAAGACACAGTGTGCGTGAGTCGGGCATGAAAGTCCTGTAGCAGTGTGACCACAAACACTGACAGCTTTTTTAATTTAGAAGTGTGGCAACTTGGGCTAGTTGGTATGGCATGATGATAGTTATAGCGCAAGAACAAAACGGCGACACAGAGACAAGAAGACAAGTCTGTAGCTAATGTGCGTGCTAGTAGATAATCTTCCTCAGTATTCCATTCACAACATCCATCGTTTGATCATCGAGTAGCACAATGTCAAAATTATTTAAATACTGTGGAAGGCGTTCTTCGATCTGTAAAATAAGTAAAAAATGACAAGTCAGCACAGGCAACAAAAAGCAGTAGCTCCATAGCATACATTTATGTATTAACTGCAAAACAGTAGTTATAAATGATGGCAATAAACACAAAAAACCACCACTTGCTCCAAGTTGGCGTTACCCTTGTAGACGCACAGGTTAGTGGTGTATACAATGCTTTGCTTGTTTTCGGGTATCGCCTACATTATAATTTCAGATCGAAAATCCTTTACTTGGTTTTACAAACTTCTAAATTCAATGAAATAATTGAAGCCTGGTGATCACTTTGTTAAATAGTTTTATCTGCAGATCAATGTTTTGTTTTGTGCTCGCAAGATTCAGCCTGATGGTATCACAAAACTGTCAGGCTGAATTATATTTTGATATCCAGTTGAATGATTTTAACTGAAAGCTTGTAATTAGCCGTGGGCACGCGTTGTCACAATCAATGTTTTTAAAACTTGTTCAGTTTGAAAACTCGGCAGTGTTGCGCACCTCCACCAAAAGCTGTGGCTGAATTGGCACTGTTATTGCAACAAGCTTCAGTCAGTCCAGCAACATGCACCATAACGTGTGTGTGTTCGGCTGCGGTCATGCTGGGTCCGCGTGCTGTAGTATGCAGACTGAAGAGATTTAGCGTGCTTTTGCGTTCTATGTATAACGTGGATGTTTGTGCATTTGCATAACTAACTCATTGTGTGGCTGGATGCACAAGCGGCTACAGGACCAACAATTCCCCAAGACACTTCTGCTGGGCTCCGCGTGATCCGGTTCTCTGCGCAGCATGGAAACACGTTATTCCCCATCTCGACAAAAGGCTGTCGGACAAATAGCGAGTGTATGATGTGCGTTTTCATGCCAAAGACATCTTGAAAACATACGGCCACACGATCAACAGGAAAAAAGTTTCAAACGAACGCCGTAATGAAATGGAGCCTTGTACAGGGAAGTGTGCCTAAAGTTTTCTTTCTTAACCTGCCATCGTATCTTTTAAACTACCAAAAAAAAATGAACACGAAAGAAACATGACTACATATCGTAATGACAAATGGACATATTCAAAAAACTACTCAAGAATTCAAAAAAGTTAAAAAAAGAGCAGAAAAAAAAACATCAATGCAAGTATGGGGGCATGAATATGTTCATCAAGTAAGGTTAAAAATGTGTTCAACTCCTTACAGACCGGCAATCAATTCCATTACAGTTCCATTCCACTGCAAGAAAAAAGAAGCAGATGGTGTTGACACTATTTTCATGTAATGTTAATAGATGTTTGTGATGTGACTGTCTGGTTTCTGAAATAGCTATGAATCTAGAGCTGTCGATGTGTAGCTGCATATGAATAAGTTGGAAGAGCATTTTTAGACACGTAAGTTCGGCACAATTTCGTAATGTTAGTAGCTCAGCTCTTGTGATTAGTTCAGTGGGTGAATTGAGGAAACTGCATTTGTTGTAGATAAATCTAACCACTTTTATTTGTACACCTTCCAGCTTTTAAATTAGATTACTTGTGGTAGGGAACCAGACTAACGTAGCGTATTCTAGTAATGGACGAATTAATGCCGCATAGGCTAAGAGGTTTGTTTCAGGTGGTGCAGACTAGGGCACTGCACGGGTCAATTTTTTCGGCCCAAGCCCGGCCCGGCCCGAAAAATATATGCTCTGGCCCGCTCGAGCCCGACGTGAGGTTTTTAAATACCGCCCGTACCCAGCCCGGGCCCGAAACGCTTGGGCCCAGCCTGGCCCGGCCCGTTTCAGCCAAGTATGCCTTCGGCATAAACGATGCACTGTCCAATCTTCGATTATTTCATAGACACCTGCAGCACACAAGATAACTTTTAAAGATTGTTTTGAAAACGTCTTTCGGGGCCACAACTTTAACTGTTTCTGTGTGCCCTGCCACGATGGTCTAGTGGCTAAGGTACTCTGCTGCTCACCCGCAGGTTATGGGATCAAATCCCAGCTGTGGCGGCTGCATTTCCGATGGAGGCAGAAATATTGTAGGCTCGTGTGCTCAGATTTGGGTGAGCGTTAAAGAACCCAAGGTGGTCGAAATTTTCGGAGCTCTCCACTACGGCGTCTCTCATAATCATATGGTGCTTTTGGGACGTTAAACCCCACATATCAATCAATCAGGGATTCGATGTTTGTTTTGAAGACTTTCTCAGGTGCTTTCGTCTACTTTTTGCATGAATAATTTCCTGATTCATCCATGTATTGAATTGTTTTTTCCTCTTTGTTTTAGCAGGTATGTAGTGAGAAATGCAATACAATACAACATTAAATTTCTGCCACAATGTTTCGACATCGACATCTAGGTGAATAGGAAGCCTCTAAAATAAACTAAACTCGTTAAGTGGTCCGTAATACTAGTATAATCTGCATTGCTGAAATCAAGATTACACGAAACTGAATTCTTATGCCTGACATGCTCACGCAATGGAATCGAGCATAACACTATCTTGTGATAAGATATGCACTCTATTAGTTCAATGGTGGCCTTGTGTGTGGGAAAGTGGTCACTAATAAAAATTAGGTCAACCACATTTGAAGAACACCTCTGTACACAAGTAGGTTTTTTAACATTTTGAGAGAGATGAATTGTCAGCATAGTATCAATAATAATGTAGGACGAAGGCGATGGATGGTTCATAGTGAACCAGTCGATATTAGAAACGTTGAAATTGCTAACCAGTAAAAGCCTTACCTGATGAAAACTGTATTTTTATGGCTTTTATGCAATAAAGGCTGAATAACAAACACTAGCCATTGAAATTTGAGTCATCATCACCGCAGATATGTGGGAGGGAATGGCTTTTGCGTGTTGATGCACTTTGTGAGCACGTTTGTATGCGTGCATGTACTCATACGCAAGCAAAATTGAAAAACTTCTGGTGGGGTTTGAACACCCTCTTGGCCACGAACATGGTGCCTAGACTGCGAAAGAGTATGCGCATGGGCACTATTTTATATGAAGGAGGAGGAAGCTACTGAGAATAGTAATTGGTGAGGTTTAAAATTTCGAAATCATGATATTATGGTAGTGGAGGGCTCTGAAAATTTGACCGCTTGGGGTTCTGCTCCTAAATTTAGGCACACAGGCCTCAAGCAATTTTGGCTCTATCGAAAATGTGGCCCGGATTCAATCCGACCACTCGCAGGTCAGCAGTCGAGCATGACTGGAGCATGAGCTGCTCTAAAGTATTAACCCAGAGTACAAGCTGCATACTTTGTTCGAAGCTCTCAACTTCCGAAGATGAACCAGCAAAACAATCCAGCCCCAACTGGGTTTGATCACTATCAAAGTGTGTCGTGACACCTGCATAACTTAGCCATGCGTTTGTGAAGCTTAATTTCGGCAAATGTGCCATAATGCATAGTTGATCTGAATGACCATGTTAAAAGGACCCTGCGACAATATTTGAGCATGTATTCTCAATATTTGAACACGTCGACAGGGACCGTTCGCTTTTTATTGCCTTGACGCGACAAATAGCGGCATTATTCATATGATGGTAGCTAGGCCATACGAGTGAATGCTAAAAACAGCAAAAACTTGTTTTACACTTTCTCAGAAATGAATCATTCCTATTTCTAAATGATGTACTCTCAGAAACACGAATAAGACACTTAGCCTGCAAATGAGGCTATGGTATGCCAGCAACTAAAGGTGGAAGCGCATGCCGCATTTTTAGCGAGCCAAAAATGCGACAGGCAGTGGGCGCCGGCGTTGTCATAAAATTTGTCTTGCAAGCAAGCCGAGAAGCGACCCTGCCCAAAGCGTATGTGTGTATCTTACACAGTTTGACAGTAGCGTCTGCTAACCGACGCACGTGGTTCATAGTAACCATGCTTTTGACACTGTCAGAAAGAGCAGTAGCGAGGTATTGTGGGAAGGCCACCATGAGGTGACATTCCCGGTATGTCTTTATGAGACGCGTGCTGTGATTGGAAGTGGTCTTTGATGCCAGGAGGCGAGTGAAATGTGAAAGAAAACGTTTATCGTCATCGTCTGCTTGAGTTTTCAACTTTTGAGGACTCATAACTTCACTTCACTCATAACTTCTTCAACAACACCAATTTCTATAATTCTTGTTGCATTTGTCCCAGTAACCATCTCTACACGCGTTGCAGCACTAAATAACGCTGTCCAAAAAGTGTCACAGGGCCCCTTAAATGATGTTTCTTGGTAACACAAACGATGTGAGCAGCACCCACTGCACAGCTGGCGCGGCTCCGACGAAATATTGTTGTTACGTATTTTCACAGCACCTACCAGAACCTTTGGCGTCTTCCTTGTTAGCTGAAAAAGATCGTTGTCAAAGCTACTTGCTTTGTCGTTGAAAAGTAGACTGAGACAATGAGCAACACTAATGCCTGTCGAGCTGAACTTGACGAGAACAACAGCGTCTGCCAAGTACACTATGGAACACCATCTGATGTGCTTTCAAACATTCTCGATAATGTATTGAATCTTCATAATTACCTACAGAGAAAAACTAGTGAAGAGAAGAGTCCTTGTGTTTTCAAGCAATTCAATATTCGCATGGATAAGAGCTGCACGCACGACGTTCACTCGTGTTCCTAGTCTGCTATGTGGAGCCTGTTGCTGCAGTAGCGCCACCTGGACTGGAAGTCGGTTATGTGCCACTTTCAGAGTATGGCAGAGGTGAAGGGTTTGGCAACTGAACAGTTCTATAAACGTTGGTCACAAACAACAATGATATGACTAATAAAACGCTATTTTATCTCAGTAAATATCACTTGTAGTGAGCTTCGCTAGACAAAATGTCAAGAAATACCTAATAAAAAATCAAACCTTTTGATTTCCACAATAATTATATATGTTTATAACTGAGACTTGAAGACAAACTTCATTATTTTTTTTGTTTTCTATAATTCTCGTGTTTAGAAGCACTCATCCTTATAGTAAGATGCTCAATTTACTAATTTGACATTCAGAGTTGGGAGTCCCAACACACAGATGCATCCCC